GCAGTCCCGCTACCGCTCCCACTTCCACTTCCGGCTGAACTTCCGTTTCCATGTCTGGTTTCGTTCTCTGAATATCGAGATGGAGCCACGCTTGCGCTGATTGTGGGCATCGTTAATTTCAATCCGTTTTGCTTTGATGTGCCCAATTCCGCATCTTGGAGCGTTGCTCTGTTACGATCATTGTTATTATTGTTGGTTTTACTCACATTATTGTCATTATTATTGCTCGACATTCTCTGAAAAGAAAAATATTCGTTGAATTAACATAATAAAGATTCGCTAATCGAATAATTTGATTGTCAATGGTAAATGGATATATTTTAAATAAAAATTATTATTGAAATCGTTTTATTAAAATGAAATAGTATTTATTAATTTATTTTAAGATTATATTGATAAACATAACAATAGATATTTCTATATATATTCAATTCTATAAATATTTATTTAAATTAAATTAAATGAAATTAATAATAATTCTTTAAAAGTGTATTGAAAAAAATTATAAAAAAGAAATATATTTTAAATTTTGAATTGATTATTTTAAATATTATTTTTGGTGATCATATTTCACAAGGAAAATAAATAAAAAGATGTAAAAAAAAAAAATTTATTTGAAAAAACTTTTTTAATAATTTGATTAATAAATAAATTTATGTGAATATTAATATTTTATTGAGTTTATTTATAAATACGAACATATTAAAATAATTATTGATGTATAGTTATAATTACTATTGAACAAGATTTCAATACTTGAAGACAATAAAATTATATTTTATTGTATGATAAAAAAAATATTTAATAAATTTAAATATTTAATTTATATTTATATTAAAATATATATAATTGAAATTGAATTATTGCATATTTGTAAAATTAAATAATTATTTCAACTAATATTTTAATCAATATTATAATAAATTAAATTTAAATTCAAATTTATCATATTTAACATTAGTTAAGTAAATACTTTTAAAAAGATATTTTTTAAAAGTATTTCTTATTTAAAATATATATATGATGATATATAATATATAATGAAAAAATTATATGTGAATTATTAATAATATAATTTGTTTGAAAGGCGATAATTTTTGGTCAAAATTCAATTTCAATTTTCATATTTGAAAATTTTGTATTTCTATAAAGTAATTTTTTAGAATCTATATCTAGAATTTATTCTAGAAAATAAATATTTCTAAAAAATAATTTTTCAAAATTTCGAAATCTAAAATAGTGATAATAATTTGTATAATTCTTTTAAATAACTATGATGTGAGAGAAAGCGTTTCAAAGATAAAATCATGAAGTTGAAAGTGAAAACAGTGATTTTAATTATTCATTATAAAACATAATACAAATTTATCATATTTTCGTATATATAAGCATTTATATTTTAGTTATTTAATTTTTTTTTTTAAAAAGTAGTAAAGTACAAATTTAATAATTTAAACAAGGATAAAGAAATTAAAAATAATACATGCTTTTCTATATATTTTTTAAAATAAGAATAAAAATATAGAATAAAATTTTATTGTTTAAATAATTTGTTTTTAAGAAAATCAAAATTAAATATATCATAATTGAATATATTGAATATTTTTTCGAAATTTAATTTTTAAAAAAATTTATTTTTTATATTTTTTATAAATTTACTTTCATATGTAGAATAACTTCTTTTCAATAGTTTATTCGAATTCAATCAAAAATTAACCAATTTTATTTGTACATTAATAATATTTAAATTTGATTTACTCGAAAACAAAGTTTCAAATGAAAAAATATCATTCCTTTTCCTCGATTCATTATTTTTTATAGAATTATTTTCACTTTTATCTTATAAGTACATCTTATTTATTAATTTTTTTTTGTAAATTATTTTATAGATTTCTATAAATATGTTATTTATTTTTTAAAATTTTGTCAATAAATGAAATTCAATGTTTTTGATAAAATTAATTATCAATATAAATACTATATATTAATTAATCAATATAAATATTTTTTGCTTTTACAGTATAGTTATTATAGAAAAACAATTCGATTATTAAAAAAATTAATATAAATTTTTTAATTTTGTTTATAAATTATCGCTTTCCAGATAATGATAGATCTTGTTTCTAACTCACCTTTATCTTTTTACTAGCGAAACTTCGTCCTATAGCAGCTCGCATCTTTTCCCATCGTGTGAGTTTTCTGGCGAATATCAGGTAGAGAGTCAACAGAAACGATACGCAAGCTATCGTGATGGATATCGAGACTAGAATCCATAATCTTCCAACTTCTCCTATTGATTTACAATATTTTATATTTCTACTTTATATTTCTCTTTCGACTTTTTTAAATATCCTATAGACGCTAATTACATATTGATTACATATTGTAAACATTGATTATAGATTTAACAATTTAACAATAAAAGTCGAATTGGAATTTTTTTTATATGAACAATTCTATTCATACTTTTATATAAATAGATTCTACGAAATTGTCTCTCTTTCTTTTTTTTTTTTTTTATTTCAGAATTACTAGAAATGTCCTTTCTACATTGTACATACTACTGTACTGTTTACTCTTTCATATACTCTTCATATATTTTAACTTGTGAGTAAAAGATTTTTTATATAGAAAATTATATTTAGATATTTATTGATATTAATTCAATGAAGATATAAGATAAAAAAATTGAGTCAATATAGACGCATAAAGAATGACGAATTCTAGGATTACTATTATCTATTAGAAATGTAGATATTTAAAATGATATGAAAAATCACATTATTTAAAATAATTTAATGTAAATTATTTAAAATAATTTGAAATTACATTAGATAGATAATTATTCTAAATAATTATGAAATAAACAATATTTATAAAGAAACGATAATTTATGAGATATATATGACACTGAGAGGTTAAGTCAATGGTTCATATATATAAAATGGTAGAGTGATGTCTCATATAGTGTCGTATGAGCAGTTGATTTAAACCTATCATTTGTATCGGTAGTTCCATTGCCAATATGTATCAGCGCCTATAGATAAATTGTTTTAGAACAGCGATTTTCAACCAATATGTTAACTAAATTTATTTGAAATTGAAATAAAAGATAAAAAGTATTTAAAATAATTTATTTTGAATCATTATTTTCAATATTATTTGAAAATATCATATATGTTATTTGATAAAATATCAATTTGTTTAAAATTTTTTAAATAATTTCGAATAATAAATTATATCTTAATTTTAAATTTGACAAAATAAATAAATGTTAAAATAATTGTAAAATATTATATTGTAAATATATAATAAATAATATATGTATATTTCTCATTAATTTACATAAATTTTAATAACATTATCTATTAAAATTTAAGATTATCTATTAGATATTTATGAAAAATAATATTATTTAAAATAATTTGAAATAAATTATTTAAGATAATTTAAAATTATCTTAAATTATCTTAAATTTATTTTTTAAATAATTATTTTAAACAATTATGAGATAAATTTTATAATTTGCCATTACTTCATAATTCTCTTATTGTTCGAAAATAAACAAAGTTATTCTGAGTTATGCAGAATTTATTTCAAGTAATATAAAAAAAAATAATATACTATTATATATAATAGTATATTATATATAAAAATATTATACTATATAAAACTATATTATATATATAATATAATATAAATTTATATATAATAATATAAATTTAATTCAAATTTTTAAAAATAATTTAAAAATAAAGCTATTTATAATATTTATTAATTTTTAATAAGCTATTTATTGTTTGAGTAATGTATAAATAATATATTTCAATTTGAAAGTTTTTTAAAGTATCTAGATTTGAATAACATATTTAATTATATAATAAGCAATTATATTTCAAATGAGTTAATTATTTCGATATAAAATTATAGTCATTTTCACGATAATAAATTTGAAGATCAATTATAAATATTCTGTTGTCAAAATGACATTGATCTGATATCGTTAGTGGAAACGAGCCCAGTGTTTATATAAGTAATAAAAATTTCTGCTTAAAGAATTATTACATTAAAATAAACCATATAGTATATTAAGAATATCGAATTTTTAATATTTAATATAAATTAATTTTTATTAGTTATTTATAATATAATTTTTTCAACAATACATATATTTTTAAATATATAAAAAACCGATATATTTTATCTTTGTTTATTCTTATCTGATATTTAATTATTAATTATTCTATTAAACAAAAAAAATTTTTTTACTTAAAAAAAAATTATATTCTAAAATAAAGTTCAATCTTTTTTATTTTAAACTTTAAACGACAAAAAAACTTTTTTTTATAAAAAAAGTTCATCCCATTATTTTTTACTACAAATAATATATTTTTTCAAAAAAATAAACAAGACAAAAATTTCACTCAATTTTATTTAATTTTATAAATTTTATATAATTTTATAATTTTATAAATAAGAAAAATTTCTTTAAATTTACAATGCTATGAAATGACAATATCATAATTTTTTTTTAAATTAATACATGTATTCTTTTTTTAACATTTTATGGTAGCAGTTGCCAAGATTTTAAAAAGAGTTTAATCTATTATTTGATAAAGTTTAATGAGTGAGCGATAGTGAAAAAAAAATAAGAAGAATGTGAAAAGTAATTTACGATTATTTTCAGTGACAAAATCATGGAATTTCACGAATTTTTAATTAGACTTCGATTCGTCGAAGACATGATAAGACAACTTCCATAAAATTGACGTAATAAACGCGAAAGAAGAATTTTGTTTCACAATTATTAATTATTTCTTGTAATTCCTTCTTTAGTCATTAAATCTTATCACAAGTTTTTTATGCAATTATAACAAGTTTCAAATATTCAACTAATATGTAAAAAATATATAATAATTTTATTTTATGTAAATTCTAATAATACTATTTAAAATTATATAAAACTATATAAAAATTTTCTATATTTTTTAATAGATTACTATTTTCTGATAGATTATATATTTGAAAAAATTGAACTGAAATTAGTATACATATATATTGCTCTACTAATTCTTCTATTGATAAAGTTTTATAACTATATTACAAGTTTTATATGGAATATATAGTTAAATTTATTTATAATATTAAATTATCACATAAATAAAATTATTATTTATTAGAAAAAAAATATATAATACATTTATTTTATATATAAAATATTATATATATAAACATATAGAATATATAATATAAAAAATATTAAAAAAATGTTAATATTTAAAATATGTTAAAAAAATTCATCTTTTCTATAAAATTTATTATTAAGAAATATACTATGTAGAAGTTCAATATAATAAGTTATATTCAATATTTTTTATGTTTTATTTGTAAATAAAGTAAAGTAATAACTTATTATTTTTATTCTAAATTTTTCAATATTTTACTTCCACTTTAAAACAAAAATAAAAAAAATATT